TATCTAAACTATCTCAATTATCTCAACTATCGCTAATATATCTAATTTCTCAACTATATCTAATATCTGAAAGAAATCAAAGAAAAGAAATATATTACAGATATCTCATTTTCCTCAGATTTGTCATTTTTGGGATCATCATTGCATAGACTCATGTGACCATGCAATTTCCCTTTCACACTATCCTATTGTGGTTTTATATATGTCAGCTAGCTCCTTTACCTTGTCTATATGGCTTGCTTTTAATGGATCCACTATGTATCTTGTTGTGCCCTGAATTATTTATAATATGTTAATTAATTCGACCATGCTATATAAGTTTTGTTTTGCTTTCTTGTTTCTGCTATAGCATTTGATTTTCTTTATTTTCTTGATATGCTTGCATGTGGCTGCCAGAATTATCTCTCTGAATTTGTTTCATTGCTTGTTCGCAATTTGTGAAGTATCGGTCATTTGTGTGTCAAGTCTTCTCGTGCATTTATTTTCAATGTCTTTTGTCCATACTGTCTATTTATGTTCTTCAGTTCTTGCTCAGTTGTATCTGGTATTGGGTGTTCTTCTCCTGTTCAGTTGTTTGTGGTTTGTCAGTTCTGAAAAAGTTATCTGTGTTATTACGATCTTGTAGTCCAAGTCATATATCTCCTTTGGTTCCTCAATGATCTTTACCAATTGAATAATACTGTTTCCCTTGTCTGTTGCCCATATCTGATCTATTCTACTTTTGCTTCCTACTGTGTTTTTCCATGTGTATTCCTGGACTCCCGGATATAAGTGTCTAAATATATCCTTTATTTCCTCCATTATTATGTTGTTAATCAATATATTATTGTACATCCACTTGTTCTTTTCTTTTTTGTTTGCACAGAGTGGTGGTCTATAGCAGGTCTGTAGATGTTGTTGAGATCCTCCCCAGGATTACTTTCCAGTTGTCTTGTCTAGTAATTTGAATCTATTTGCTTACTTGCACTTCCAGTTATGCCCTTTTTGCTTGAACTGCGTATACATATATTTCTATTATTTTAATATACTTCCTCTGTGGAAATGCTAAGTCTATAAATATAGCTCTACCCAATATTATTTGTTTTCTTATGACTCTTTTTGTGAGGTGTGCTTTAAGGCTAACACCTATACCTTCTTCTAAAAATTGTTCTCCCAAGATCCAGTATGTGGTATTTGTATCATTTTTCCAGTATTTTTCATTTTATGATCTGCTGTTTGTCTCTGTTGTGATTATGATATCCCATTTGTGTATATTCCATTGAGCAAACCAGAAATTTCTTTTGTAGTTGTCGTTTATCCCCTTACGTTCAATGTTGCAATTCTGAATATAGTAACTGAGAAAATGTTCATGTGTTATGCTTTGGTGGATCTGTTATTCACAAACTGCCTTAGTGACTTTGCTGGTTTTTTATTGTTTGTATTTGTTTTAATTGTTATGTTGTTTGGTATTTCTGATGTTCCTGATTTTTTGATGAATTGTTCATGCGTGGGTTCTGGGTGCAACAAGTTGCCTAGGGATATTGCTGGGCCTGCTTCTATTGTGCTATTGTAGTTTCCCATTATTGATAATGGAAGATCGTCATGTGTGCTCTGGTAATGTTGTCAGTTTTATCATTGTTTTGGTCCCATGCCATATGAATTACTTCGGTTAGGGCTTTTTCGATTCTCTCTATTTCAAAATGTAGCTGTTCTTGTTCAGTTCTCAGGTCTTTGATCGGCTTTTCTATGGTTCCACTCGCTACTGACTCTGGTTGTCTTGGTGTCTATCCATGTTGCTGGATTGTTGCAATGGTTTGATCGTCATTTGTCATTTCGTCTCTGGCCTCTTCTTCATAAATAGATTCGATCCATTTTACTCTTTCATCTAGATCATTCAATTGTTTTTTAACTTCCTTGATTTCTTCGAGGATATGTTGCAATGTGATAAGGATTGTTGCTTGCATTTTGTTACATGTCTCATTTGTGTTTCGATTTTTTCCTGGTAGTCCTACTTCATGATTTCTGCAGGTGATTTCCATGTATGACTTTTTTCTGTTGCTTTCTTTCTTTTCATTTCTGATGATGTTTCTGATCAGAGTGGTTCTGGCCGGTCAGTATCTGCAGTAGAGAACCCCGAACTGTTTTGCTTGTTCTTCGTTATATGTTTTCAGTTGTTCTCTGTGGTGTTTGATTGGGCATTCAATTGCTAAGTAATTATACATGTTGCAGATAGCACATAGTTTGGTGTTTATTAATTGCCAGCTTAATGCCATGTCTTCTAGTTTGTATGTCTTCTGAGTTGTTTTTTTAAGTTCATTCTGGTTTTTGTATGCTATGACTGTAAATCTTTTCCTTTGATATGATATTTTTCTGGGGATATAGTATGTCTTGGCATGTGTTTCTGCGATTATATCTCTAAGGTCGTATGCTGTTGTGCTGGAAGGTAAGTTGCAGAGCTTGATTAAAATAGATTATCTGCATTTCATTTGATTGATGTCCTATATTGCATTGAAAACTCTTATCATGTCTGCTTTGAATAGTATGGACCAGAGTTCGATTAGTTTGTTTTTATTATTCCTGTCCTCATAATAGATAGTTGCTGATTGTTACATTTGTTGTGTGCTCATGGTGATGCTCGTGATGTTATCATATCTGACAAAGGTTTGTTGAATGTCTATGGTTTTTGCATTAAGGGGAATGTTCTACACCCTAATCGTGTTTTCTCTTCTTTGAATGGGGCTTAGCATTTTCATGTGTATAAGTTTATCATTGTGAAATTCATCCAATACTATGGTCATTGTATTATATGCCGCTTGTTGATTTCTGAAAATTGTTATGATGTGTTCGACATTTTTGATTTTTTCAGCACAGATAGAAATTAGGCCGATCAGGCTGCTGAGGACTTTGGCAACCATCTGTATTTTGTTACTTGTGTGTTTGTCTTTGACTTTGTCTACAGGTATCTTTAGTTTAAATCTTTTTCTTCTGTATCTTTTCACCCAATTAATTGAGAATGATGCTCTGGGTTTGGTACTCTGTCTAACAAGTTGTTTTCCTTTCTTAATCATGGACCAGCCTGTGCCATCCGTTTCTCTGTCCAGTTCTGAGTCACTATCCATGTTGGTATCAAATTCATCTGCTCTTGTGGATTTCTTATCACTTTCCTGATTGGTGCTTTGATAGGTTTGATCATCATGTTTTCCTTTCATTCCTGAGTGTGGCCATGTTGCGAACTTTTTATTTTCTGTTATTTCTGTCCAGTTTTTGCTGGGACTCTATCATTTAGTTCTTGTGGAGAAGTAGTTTCTGTTATTTCTGTTAATATGTTGCCAGTGCTGATTGGAATCATACTAGTTTCCTGTTTTTCGACATGTGTTTTAGGTTTTTTTGCAGAGGTGGAATATGGTTGGGCAGCCGTTTCTCTGACCTTGTTGAATTTGTTACCTTTGCTTAGCTTATTGTTATTATAGTTGGGTCTTGTAGTGAGAGAGCTGCCTCTCAATTTCCTTGTGTTTTGCATAGAGATTATCGTAATGACCAATGTTGATAATAAAAAATATTTTTTTTTTCCTCTAATCAAACTGCTAGTAACACGTTTATTAATTCTTTATGGGAAACCATAATACAATATACATATAATACTATACTAAAGGTAAACTTTTTCTAATGTAGCAGAATACCCGTCAACAAGTTATTTTATGGATTTGTACGTGATCCTTGAATCCTTAATATCAAGACCACCATGTTGCCTACATAATCTAGCTATTTACTAACTATTTTACTACAAGGGAGTAGGTTTATTAAGCTATTACTGCGTAATATTAACTATCTTAGACTTTTCAAATTCTAACTCTCTGGACATGATCATGGGGAGTAATAAAGTTGCTCCTTCCTAGAGTTAGATACTTATGATCTTTACTCCAAGAGATTAACGCCAGCCTACACTCAGACTGTCACCCCAATATAACCTTGTGGTCCTAAGAGGTAAAAAAATTTTTATTTTTTGAAAAGTAAAGGGGAAAATAAAAGGGAAAGAAAAAGTTTGTACTGGTAAATAAAAATCCATCTAAACCAATCACCAGCCTAATGAAAGCCTTCTTTGATCTTGAGGAGAAAAGAAATTAGCACAAGAGAGGAGGAGGAAGATTTCAAACCACTGCTTATCAAAAGGAACACCTCGACACCTTGCTCTTTTGCTATATCCAATTACATCATTGGTATAGTGTAGTATGACATGGAACATATGGGGTATGTGTCTTGTTTATATTTCTTTTACTTGTTGATTAACCAATCCAAGATTTCAGCCAATCACCATCCAGAGTTTTTGGTGTAACAAAAAATTCAGGGTCAAACTGAAATAGGCAAAATTCCTCAGAAAAATCAAGAAAAATTAGACATACTTAAAAGTACTATTTACAGACATATATGAATGGTGGAAAGGTTCATATATCTGGACAATAGAATCCTATTAGCTTATCCACCTGCCTGACCAAGAAGTTTACTTACAGTAGACCCAAGATTCCCATGTTACTTGGGAGTATATTCACTGATAGGCCCAACTAGCTTATCCACCTGCCTTAGACTAAAGATTGTTTACTTATGGTGGATCCAAGGTTCTTATGGAGCTTGGAAAATGCATTCACTAGTGGTTCACTTTCTGAAGTTTCTGACCTAAGGAGAAATAGTGGAGGGTATTTTTCTACAGGTTTCTTCTTCCCAATAAGGTGTTTTTGCCATAGATCAAATGGATAAAATTTTGTTTATTTTGTCACTAAAATATCCAAAGTTTTTTGAAAAAAGAAGGGTAAACAAGTGGGGAAGGCACCTGCCTTCAGGAAGTAATATTTTTAAGAAAAGTATATAGACTTTATTATCAAAAATAAAGAATATTTTTGAGAACGTCTGTTTTTTTTGGGTTGGCAAAGGAATCAGTGGAAAGAGTTTTTTTATATTATAATGATAATAAAATATTATATAATCAAATTATATAATAATTCAAATTTTTATTATTTTTTAAAATAGTATCTGGAATATTATTATTTTTTTTTTTGTAATCAAACAAATATTTATTGTATTTATTTAATCTTATAAAAGAAGATATAGTTGTTTATAGACATTTATGCATAAACTAATCACTTATACTTGAATACTTGTCTTTGGCTATTAATCTCTAGATATGATTTTGGAGATAAATAAAGTTGCTCCCTTTTATTTTCCGTTTCTAGGAAAATTCAAGTTTATCGCCTGCAGTTCATCACTACAGTTAGTATCTGGAATATTATTAATCAATAACATATGATATATAAAATAGTATTAATTGAAACTTTATATAATACTTTAATTATTATTAATACTTTCAGTACTTCAGTTCGATATCAGTATTAAAGTATCATATCGAAAATTTTCAGTAATTATCAATACTAATACTGAAAAAAATTTTCAATATCAGTTTTATAAAATATCATATCAAATAGTATTAATCAGAATCCTAAAGAAGATATATCTTGTTTATTAAATAATCTTTTTTTAAATTTCTATCTTATCTATTTATAAGTCTTTTCTTTTAAGGAGAGAAACCAATACCATTTTATCAAGTAAAATAAAATTCTTGATATCAAATACAATATATAGATATTTTATTATAATATTATTACAAAATTTTTCTAATCTCTCAAAATTTTGACTTTTAAAGATTGATTAATAAATAAATAAGAAATGTATATACAATTAAGAAACTTTGTTTTCAATAATATAAATTTCTAATTATTGAGACAATTCTCCAAATTTAAGCTTATTAAAAATTACAGTGCTCATTATAAATAACAAGAATTTAATTTGACATAAACTGTATATATAAATTTCCAATTATGTATTTCCAATAACATCAACTTTTAATGATGGTTTATTTACATGTGTAACTTAAAAACAAGTCATAAAAAAATTTTTTTCCTATTTAGTCTCCATTATTTTTTTTTACTATGAAATGAACAATATCCCTCTTGCTAATCAATGAAAGACCATAAGTGAGCTTTGGAGCTGTGGCATTTATGATACTCGGATTTTGATGAAATTAAATAATACCCTCCTTTTTACAATATACAAGTATATTACTCAACTAAAAAAAAATTATAAACTTGAACCAATTTCATGTTCTGGATATCCAACAATCTTAATTCCCCCAAATCATTATGTATTAGAAAGAATTATTCAAAATGATCAATATCTTACTTGTGGAGAAATTGCCATTAAACTTAATAGTATAGTCAAAATATTAGCACGAACAGTAAACCGTAAACTTAATAGGCTTGGTTACTGCTTAAGTCATCTCAAAACAGTACCTTTATTTATCGAAAAACAACGCGAAAACCATGTGAAATGGGCAACTGCTCATGCAAGGCAAAACTGGAAAAATGTTATATTTTCGGACAAAACCATATTTCAGATATTTCATAACACTATAACTGCATTCTACAAGGTTGGTATAGATGTTTCACAAAAGGAGATTCTAAAACATCCAGTAAAAGTTTATATATGGAGCACTTTCTTGATACGAGGAACAATTGGTTTTCATATTTTCATTTAGAATATGGATGGATCACATTATTATAATATTTTAACTAATTATTTTTTTGAGAATGCATCTAGGATTAGTGTTACAAATCATTAGTTGAAAAGGTTGAAATTAATTAATCAGAGTATAGAAATTTTTAGTTGCAACTAATTGATTATAATTAAAACAACCAATTGATTAGAAAAATTTTAATTAACTAAAATCACTATCTAGGATCATACCATTATATTGGATCTTTCAATAGGACAATAACATAAAGCATATGGCAAAAGAAATAACAGAACTCTTTTGTCATCAAATCTCAAAGATCCTCAATTGGCCCTTCTATAGCCCAGATTTAAATCCAATAGAAAATTTATGGGCTATTATTAAGAAAAAGGTAGAAAAATAAGTAAACAAAATAATCAAAAAAAAAAATCAACATTACAGACTGGCATGAGATAATTTGAGAAAAATGTAAGGATATTTCCATAGACCTATGTCTTAATTTAACAAATGGCATGTCAGTGCAATTAAACAATGTTATTGAAAATAATAGGAAAAAAATTGATTATTAGTATATATAATTTTTTTTATAAATACTATACTGATATCATTATAAAACTGCAACTCAAATAAATAAATTTTGCAAAATTTATATTCAAAAAATGATTCTTATTATTTATTACAAGCACTATATTATTAGACTAAATATAAATTTATTGTCTTTATCTTCTAAGTTAATGATTTTTCTATATATATATCTGCAAAAAAAGTTTTATTAATTAATTTATATATTTTATTTCAGATAAAAAAATTATAGGCACCTAAGAATTACTTTTATAAATTTAGCAAAAATATCAAGTTTTGTAATAGTTATAAGACTCTTGTTTATAATGGCTTTAGTCAATTCTTCACTAAAGTAAGATAATCGAAATTATAAAATCATTAAGTGTAAAGTAAATAGTTTCTTATTTTTCTTATTACCTACTTTAATAGTAATATCATAATATTCTTTATTATTAAGTACAAAGAGTTACATATGATAAGATCAATTTTTATAAATTTTTATATTATCTAATTTTTTTTTGCTTTATTTATTACTCTTATAAAATTTATCAATAAGTTACAAATCCATTTTTTTCTATATATTTATTAATATATTTAGATATAAAATTTATAAACTCAATGACCAGTGGGTCAATAGTACAGTGAGTAGTGCTTCCTGATTTCCAAATGCATGTCTCTAATTCAATATCCATAGGAGGCAAAATGCATAATATTCCTTCATTTGTGGGTTTACTGGTTTTCCTACAAATGTCATACTTCAAACATCCGGATCCTGACCAAATTTAGTTAGGCTGCATGAAGATGAGATCTCTGGTCTTCTTGACGATTGCGGGCTGAAAACAGGTCAAAGCATAGAAAGTTGCACAAGAAAAGGCTTCTGGTCTAACTCCGATAAAAGCCCACAAACCCCTTGACACGGCAGACTCCGTAGCATAAAGAACACTCTAGCCTGGGGCTATCCCAATCCGGTGCTTGCTTAAAAGAAAATGATCCTTACAAGGAAAGTTGGAAACCGCAGGTGGTGACAAGGAGTACAGTATCTTTTCTAAGGAATTAGGCAAAAAATATTGAACAGGTTATTCAGGTATTCTAATCAACCCTGAAAGGTACATGCTCTAAATGACAACTGCCAGGATTTAGATTAGGTTAGATAGTTTAAAACTAATGGTAGGATTTCTATTCCCTAAAGATCCCACCCGATATACAGATTCACACCCGCTGGTGGATAAATTGGTATAACTGGGTAAGGCTATAGATGGGAGTGTAGGTTAACTTAAATAGACCTTGTAGTCATGTAATTGGATATAAATCACTCAATAAAGATCATATGCTATATGCACTCTTTATCTGAAAAAAAAAAAAAATCTATAAACTCAATAATTTTTTCAAATAGAATATTA